ACCTGGTTGAGCGGGATGTCGCGGCCCACCAGACAGCGCAGGCAGTAGATGAGGGCGGACAGCGTGATGGCCCGCGGTGCGTTGAGGTTGCCAAACACTTCAGGCCCCGTGCCGCTGAAGTCAAATACCGCGCTGCCCTGCCCACCGGAGGGGAGCGGGGAGAGGCCTTCAGCGATAAGGGGGCCATGCCACCGACGCCCCGCCCCCGGGTCCCGGTTCCGGCAGCCGCACCTGACTCAGGTTGATATGCACGCGGAGTCTGATGGGGGAGCCATCGTCCATGTGGTCCTCGGCAGACACCTCCAGAGGCAGGCCCCGGGCCTGCCGCGAGGACCCAAAGGCACGAAGCATGTCCCGCACGGCCAGCTCCGCGTTGGCCTGGCGGGGAGAATGTTGAGAGGCAGCCTTGCCACCTCCCGCGTGGGGCAGGCACCCTCCCTCCCTCCCTCCAGCTGCCTTGGGCTGGCACAGAGCTGCCCCCTGCTCGTGCCCCAGACCCACCTGAATGTGGCCCATGTAGGCCTGCACCACATCCAGGCCGTACTGCCCGATGAGCTCCCCCACCAGCTGGATGCCCTTCTGGTTGGCTGCCACCTGGGCCCGGAGATCTGACAGATTGTCGTGCAGGTTCCGAGTCCCACTGCAGCCGGGAATCTTGCCTGGGGCCTGCAGGGCCTCGGTGACCGCTGCGTGGACGGAGTCACCACTGAACCAGCCTCCAGGCCCGGGGGCTGCCTGGTGCCCTGCTCTCCACCTGCTGCACCCCAGCTGGGCTCTGTGGGCCCCATGTTGGCCCTTCACTGGCTCCCCACAGCCCTGCTGACTCCTCCAGCGCCCTGAAAACCCACTCCTTCCTCCATCCGCTGAGCCTTCTCCTTCCCACACCTCAGCCCCCCACAAGCCCCGGAGGCTGGGGCAGGCAGGTGCGGGGCAGGGGGTTGTCAGGGCATAACTGTCCCTCAGCGAAGTCTCCTCCCTCCTTCGCGTCCTCCTGTCCTGCCTCCTCACCACCTGGGCCCACTCCTCAAGCTTTCTCTGGTCCCACCTCCCCTTTCCCAGGGGAAAAAACTCTTCCCTTGAGCCTCCCCCACTCACACGGCCCTCATCCCTGTAGCCCCCACTTGCCCCCAAGCCAGTCGCTTTGAAAAGAGCATCAATGTGGCCATCTGTGCAGCAACCCCAACCCCGCCCCCCCCCCGCAACTGGATGAAGACTCCAGCCCCCAGTAAACAGTGCAGGTCCTGCCCCAGGGGCCCCCTCTCCACACCAGGAAAGCCCCCCTAGAGTCTAGGTTGAGTCCTCTCTGAGAACCCGGCTGCTGGGTCCTCTGCCACCTTCCTGCACATGTCCCTCCCATGATCCCTGCCCCCGCCCCTCTGTCCCCGTTGACCAAGGGAGCAGCCAAACCTAGGCCACGCTCTTCGGGTCCTGGGCAGCCCGTGGCTCTGCTACCCCACCCTCCATCCTGCCTTGTCACTTCCTCTCATGCTGGGGTGCACCCTTGGCTCTCAGACCCCTACAGCCTCAACCCTGCTCTGTATGTTCTTTTCTGATATATTTTTATTGATTTCAGAGAGGAAGGGAGAGGGAGAGAAACATTAGTGATGCGAGAGAATCACGGATTGGCTGCTTCCTGAATGCTCTCTACTGGGGATCGAGTCCGCAATCCAGGCATGTGCCCTTGCTCAGGAATGGAACCCTGACCGCCAACTGAACCGTAACCTCCTGGTTCATAGGTTGATTCTCACCACTGAGCCACGCCAGCCGGGCACCTGCTGTATATTTTTGCTGCTCCTCCCTCCTGGGCCCCACTGCCCCTCGGTCCCACCATCCCCACAGCAGCTCTGTACCCACTCAGAGCCAGAGCTCTACCCTCCAGCTGTGCAGCAGACTCCATTGTCCCCCCACCTCCAAATCCCATCGCGTACCAACCCCGACCTCCAACAGTTGTCCCCACTCTATCCTCGCTGCCCAGTGCCAGTGTAAGGTTCTGCACCCCCAGGGTAACTGCAGCTGTCCCATCCCACCCCCTTGGACCCCTCTCCACTCTGCATGTGGGCAGGGGGCACAGGCAGACCAGCGTGCACCTGGCTGGGCCTTTCACAGCCGCCGTGGCCCTACCACCCGATGACTTAGACCTGGCCCTTCTAAGAGCCTGCAGCCCCCAGATGCGGTGCCAACCCAGGGCAGATGGCAAACACCTGGACACAGGCTCCTTGCCCTCCTGCCCTGGTCCCTGCAGTATCTCAGCCAACTCCCGGCCCCTAAGACCACCAAGGCCTTCCTTCCCCGGGCCCAGGCAGAGCTCAGCTCAGCGCCTCTGGTCAAGTCGCCACCTGCTCCCCCAGCCTCAAGGCAGGTCTGGGCCCCTGGGCTGTGCCTCGTACCTGCCCTGGCCTGGCTGGAGGCAGCAGCCCACTGAATCCCCAACGCTGGCCCCAGGCCACTCCCACTCACCCTCCTCCTGGAACACGCCTCCCTGGACAAGTTTAAAGGACAGAAAGACAGCACCCTCCTGCTGCAGGGCGGTGGAGTGCGGGGGCATGGAGCCTGGGGTGATGCCCCCAATGTCGGCATGGTGCCCGCGGCTGGCCACGTAGAACACAGGTCGAGTTTGACCCGGCCAGAACACCTAGGAGTGGAGAGGGGCAGTCAGCTGTTTGGCCTCCCTGCCCCCCTCTGGCACTCTCCTCCTCCCTCCCCCGGTCCCCAGGCCCTCACCGGGGTGATGACCGTCAGGTCTGGCAGGTGGCTGCCCCCAGCGCTGGGATGGTTGCTCAGCAGCACGTCCCCAGGGTGCAGGTCAGCCCCCAGGTGCTGGATCTGAACCCAGGACACAGGTTGGGGGTCGAGAAGGGGCGGGGCTGGGGTGGGGCAGGTGAGAAGGGCAGGAAGAGGGACCTGGCCAACCTGGAACTGCACGGTCTCCTGCATGGCGCCCAGGTGCACAGGGATGTGGGGAGCGTTGGAGACCAGGCCCCCGTCAGGCCCGAAGAGGGCGCAGGAGAAGTCCAGGCGCTCCTTGATGTTGGTGGAGATGGCCGTGCGCTGCAGGATGCGGCCCATCTGCTCTGGAGGAACAAGTGACGGTGCTGCTGGCCCCACCTCACCCACAGCTCCGCCCCCGGCAGGAGCGGCAGGACCCATGGCCCTAAGCCAGGCCCCAAA